CTAATCGGGGGACGTTCGTCTCACCCAGAGCAGAGTCGCGCTCGAGCCGACGAAAATCCGCACCGTCGCCGGTGATTTCTCTACTTTTTCTCTCGCGGAAATTCGAGAAATCGCGACACTCGCTAGCGGCCGCGCCATGGCGACTGCGTCTTGCAATGCGCTCGTCGCCGAGACGCCGCTCCGCAATATGATCGTCTCTATGCATGCGCAATGCCCGCAAGAGCCGTGAAATGATAATTCGACTCCAGATCGAGGAACGATTCGAAATTAATCAAGCCACCGGCGAACCGTGGCGAACGTGCCGTTCCGAGAATAACTATTTTAATTCAATATCCGCCGATTCGATTCACATCGAGTCAGTGTCGGCTCGCCGTGGGTCAGGCCGATATATTCCGTCCCTAAAAAATTTCTCCGCCGTCAGGAAACGCACGGATTTAAATTTTCACGCTGCCAACCAGTTTGTCCACGCAATTGGAAGGGACAACGCAAGCCTTCGTCGCGCGCCGCCGTCGAGGTGCGCTCAGATTGCCAGTAAATATCACACGTTCAAATTTGCCCGTCTGCAATCTGAGATCATCCCGTCTCGATTCCGCTAAAAATACCGGCTAGATTATTCAATTGCTGTTTTATTCTTTCCGTTAGGCTGCCTGATATAACGAGTTTAGGGCGCTACCTCGTGCGAATCGGACATTCGCTCGCGCCTAAGATAGATATTTTTTAGATAGACTGATCGACAATGTCGGACAATGTCTGAGAGTGTCATTTGTCGTGTTGCGACGAGTCGAACGAGCGAGTAGTTTACTTGTTCATATTAGCGTTCCTCTCTCCCTCTCCCTCTCTCTCTCTCTCTCTCTCTCTCTCTCTCTCTCTCTCTCTCTCTCTCTCTCTCTCTCTCTTTCCCTCGCTCTCTCATCTTTCATTTCACCCGCCAATCGTCGCGATAGTCAAAATACAGGCGACTCGATAAATGCGATCGACAGCGGAATTTAAACATCCCTGTCCGCGCGCAACTCGATTACTTTGCACCGTCGAGCGAGAATGCAACGGGAATGCGTTTGCACGGGTCTACGTGTCGCCGCGGCCGCGGCGCGGCGCGGCGCGGCGTTGCGCCTCAAATAGAGGCATTTAACACGCTGCTTTGAATAGCCGCGCGTCGCGGAAGATACGCGTGTCGCGGAATGTCCCGAAGAGCGGAATACCGCGAGGGGTCGCGTAAGGCTGCATTCTCACTAGGAGGAGACCCACCCTCTCTCAGAACTGTCGAAACCTTCCTCAATGTTTTCGCGCTGCAATACCCAATACGCGGCGTCCGTCGTCACGCATCTCAGTCATTCTTTTCACCGTGAGAAAAAAAAAGAAGAAACCGAATATTCATCCCGCGGGAACTGCAACACACATTCGCTTGAGATTCAAATCCAAACCTAAATCTTTGTATTCAAGCGAGAACAATTTTGTCTTCGCACGAAAAGCTACGGTCAGATACTCTCAGGAGAATGTATAATATATTTTCTCACTTGAGAAAAAGTGCACATTAGCACAAGTAAACGTGTCGCTCGGGCGGCCGCCGGGCGCCGAGTAAATATTTTTTATTCTTTCGCTTCCTCTCGGTGTGTTAAAAGAAAGTTCGACGGAGGATCGACGGGCTCTCGTCGTTCAGATAGGTAGGCAGTGAGAATCCGGCGTAATCCTCGCGGATCGCGCGAGGCGCGCCTTTTTGCGACGACGTCACGGCTTTCGCACACTTCTCTTGCACTACTTTGCCGATACCGAGCAGGGCATCGCGGTATCGAGACACTTGATATCTGCAGATAACGCGCGGCCATTGTCGGATTATCGCGCCAAAACAGACGCACGCACGCACGCACGCACGCATCCCGATCGGCGATGCGTCTAGCGACCGGGCCAGCCGATTTGTCTCGTCGAAGACTCCGCTCTCGCGCGCGGAAAATCGATTCAGAAACGCGATAGCGCGCGACGCTTCGAAATTGCATTTCGTTGCTCCATTTAGATCGTGTTATACAATACGGCGCCAGGTGACGTTTCACTCGATTTTCCGTTAGTGCAATATGATTCCCGTACGTAAAATTGATTACAACTTTGTTTTTAGCGAGCCCTCCTCTCGCGCGAGTAGCGACGCGATAAATATCCCGCTTTCGGAGTGGGATATTTTCCGCGCTCACGTCGAGGTCATTAAAGCTTCTTAATTTACGGCTATAGTGTCAATTTCGTGTTGCGTAAGTCGCGACGCGATCGGATTGTCGAGGAAGCGGTCGAACGGAGGCTAAATGCCCGTGGGAGACGAGGAAGGCGTTTTTCAAGGCGATACCTATATCGCATTTATAGCTGAGCTCACTGAATATGAAGTTATTCGATATCGCGCGCGTGTAAAGTTTTTAAGTCTCGGCCGGGCTTTTCTTTCGCGCGCGAGTCTAGCGCGAGTCGAGATCGTTTATCGAATCGTCGTCGTCACGTTTCGGCAATTCTCCCGCGGCAAACACGCAAAGCGTCTGAGAGAAGTGCACGCGTGAGGAAAGGGGCGTCGTTCGAATTGACCAACAGCGTAACGTTAGAACGATCTAACGTAACGTAATTGGGGCAAATCTTTTTGCTCCGATAGCAATGTCACCGAAACTCGCTCGAACGCTCGAGTCGCCTAAGCGATGCATCGTGGATTACTTCCGACGATGTCGCTATCGAGTCGAGAAGATTTGCTCCAATTATGCCGACGTCGACGATCGACTCGTCGACCGACACACAATAGCGTTTTCTTCTCCGTGCACGTACTTTCCCCTAACAGGCGGAATTCTTCCGTCAAACCTCGTTACCATTTCCCATGCACTCGTCCGTATAAATACGCAACATTTTGATAAGATTTGTTTCCACGACCGAAGCAGCTCCCAGCAGCGTTTCCGAGACGGATCCTCACGCATACGCGTAGCACAAGCAGAAATCACGCTGTCTTTCGCGAGAGTCTCAGCTCGCAACCGTCTAGTCTGGCGGGAAAATCTCTTTCCTCCGGAAAAAATCTCTCCCCGGAGGGCAGCCCTGGAGGGCTGCGAGTTCCGAAACGGTCACACGAAAATAACGGACGACCTCGGAGCGCTTCGCGCCGACGATTGACTCTCGGCAAAAGTTCGACTCGTCGTTAAGGAAGGAACACGGCATCGGGAGGAGGGGGGGGGAAGGGAGCAGGACGGACGGAATCGCCGCGATCGAGTTGCAAAGTAGCCGTCCCGTGGGATCGTCACGTGACGAAACAGCGACGACGAAACGTCGTCGCTCCGGCGGAAATCCGGACTTCGCGGGACGGAATGATATTTCGCTGGATTGGCGGCTTCCAGAAGCGATCGGCTTCGCCGGCACGAGTTCGCCGGCGGTATCCGGTTTCTACGGAGTTCGAGGATGTGATCGGAATATAATCGAATTCGGCGCGCGAATTATCCCGGCGTCTGCTAGCCGGGAGTGTCGGGCAAGTTCGCCGGCGTCGCGCATAACAATTCGATTCGTATTTTCGTGCCGGCCACCACCTCCGGCAATCCACGGGGACGCTCTGCGTAGCCCCAGCGTCCCCGCTGCTCTCTTCACCCCCCGTACCTGTTGATCGTCGTTAAATCGAAGGATTTCTTTGCGCGACGCGGTTCCGACGCGGGAAAGAGCGAAGTGCGAGCCGCCGAAGGAACCCGGGATCCAGCTTACGCCTTCTGCTTCTGCTTCTTTTCGCTCTTCGGAATGTTCCGTCGCGAGAATGCAGCTTGCGCAAAATAATAGCCGCGTCTGCCGCGACGACGCTACCCGTCGTCGTTCTCTCGGATTGGCACGGTTGCTTCTGCAGTTCTCGCGGCGCGCTTCCTCCGACTCGCCCGAGACGAGTCACATTTTAATGCTGAAGATTTGCAAACTCGGGTGTCAAGCGACGCGCGAAGTCCGTCGTCGAAATTTCGGGTAGCAAGAAATGTATAAGAGATGCGTAAACAAAGCGCGTCGCGACGACTGCATAACGTAGCGTCAGCGACGAGACGCGAGCGATACGTCTCGGGCGGCGTTTTATTCAACGTGAGAGAAAAAAGAAGAGGTCGCGGGCGATTTTTGCTGCGAACTGTCAATCGCGAGAGCGCGAGACGAGACTGGAGACTGGCGGGGGGCGGGGGGCGGGGGACGTCTGCACGTTCCGTCGCAAATTGCACACAAACGATAGAACGTGACAGACTCGCGATACGTGCAAGCCGGAGGAGCACACGCGGCTCTCGGCGTCCCGAAAAAGAGACGAGAGATCACATTGGTAACTTTGTACAGCGTACGAAACTATCGCGCGCGCGCGCGCGCGCGTGCGATCTACGAGCGGCGATAAGCGTATCTCTGCCGCGCGAGGTATGCGGCAATCCTTATCATCGGACGTAAGCGAGATACATAACAGGTATAATCACGGTGATTGAACCGCGTAAACTATCTAATCACCTGAGAGGGGGAGAGGGGGGACGAGGTCTCCGAAAGGGGCCGCCAATTATTCAGATAAATTGGCGAAACTGCCCGCGCGCGCTGACTAATCTGATATCACTGGCCTGTGATACGTAAGTTGGAAAAAGTAAACGTCGGAGAGAATTTGTTTTTACTAATATTCGTATGGTTGTGTAATAAGTAGTTTACAATCTCCGGACTGTATAAATTGGCCGATGACGTCACGAGCTTCCGCCGCTCGCGAGTCGATCAACGATAAGCCTACGATCCCGAAACTGTCCCTCATTGATTACATCGACACGGAACGTCGATTCATGCCTCCTCTCTTATCTCCAGTCACCCGGTAATATCGCGACGACATTCACTCGCGCGGTTTTACGAGAGAAGACGGCCAGGTCTGTCGTCAGGAACCCAGCCGGTCTCGTATTCCAGACCGGAGCGCCGTTTCAGCGAGCGGTTTCGCCGGAAATCTCGCCGCGCGGCGAGGGCACCCGGGGACCAGATGGTCCCCGAGAAAGAGAAGATCGGTTTACTCGAAAACTCACCTCGCTCGCTGTCACCAAGCCGTTCGCGGCGATCAGCAGCAGGAGCAACGCACTCTTTAGCAACACACGGTTCTTCATCTCGCCGTTGGTTTGGTCCCCCGGCAAGGAGTCACTTGTCGACCTCTTCGCTCTCTTCCTGACCGATCCTCCTCTTCTCTCTCTCTCTCTCTCTCTCGCTCTCTCTCGCTCTCTCGCTCGCTCTCTCTCTCTCTCTCTCTCTTTCTCTCGCTCTCGTTCGTTGTCTCACTCGCTCTTCCTCGACCGCACCACGGGACACCACCTCAACGACGGTGCATGGCGAGACGAGCGAAGGAAGAACGATTCCTTCAAGGACGTGTGGCTGCCCTCTCGTCCTGACGGATGACGCTCGTCCGGAGCCTCCTCCTCCTCTTCTCGACGGTCCGGCTTCTCTCGCGCTGACGTTCGCGAGCGCGCGGGCGGACGGACGGAAGCTGATGACCGATCGGGGAGCCGGAAACCGCGGCACACGACCGGAACTCTCTCCCTTGCTGTATCTCTCTCTCTCTCTCTTTCTCTCTCTCTCTCTCTCTCTTTCTCTCTCGCTCTCTTCTTTCTTCCTCTGCCACGTTCCGTTCGATCTTTCTTGACTTGCAACTCGTCGGCGAGGAGGCCGCGCGCCACACCGTGGCCAACAACACCGTACCGGCGTTCGGTAGCGTCTGAGAGGCCGAAGCGCGCCGACAAGATAAAACTTTTTCAAAAGCCCCCGTGGTTTTCCCTCTCCCCGCTGTGTCCGGCTCGTTCTCTCTTTCTCTCTTTCTCTCTCACTCTGTTTCTGCCTCTCTGTCTCTCTGTCTTTCTTTCTCTCTGTCTCTCTCTCTGTCTCTCTCTCTCTCTCTCTCTCTCTCTCCCTCTCTCTCTCTGTCTCTCTCTCTCTGTCTCTGTTCGCTCTCCTCGTCCCGCGTCCACGGCCCGACTTCCTCTTTCTCCACGTTGGATTCTCTCTCACGGGAGAGTTCGTCTTTCCCCTCCACCTGCTTCGTCCTCCTCCCTCTCTCTGTCTCTCTCTCCCTCTCCTTGCCATTTCACCGACGCGATCTCGTGGTCTCCCACTACTCTCCGGATCGGCACATTCCCTCTCTTCCTCCGTTTCTTTGATCCGTCGTCTCGCTCTGTCATCCATCCCTCCCGCCGATCGCTCTCTTGCGTTCTCTTGTTCTCTCGCTCCATTCCTCTCTCTCTCTCTCTCTCCCTCCCTCCCTCCTTCCCTCCCTCTTCTGATCCCCACCGACAGCACGCGGTGGACGCGCGTCTCCCTCGGACCCATGTCCCCCGGGATCCTCTCCTCGTTCCCACCGTGGTCAAAGTTGCTCCCTGCCGTCGCCGCCGCCACCACCTCCGCCGCCGCCGCCGCCACCGCCGCCGCCGCCGCCACCGCCGCCGCCGCCGCCGCCGCCGCCGCTGCCGCCGCCGCCGCCACCGCCGCTGCTGCCGCCGCCGCCGCCGCCGCCGCCAAGCGGCGGGGGAGACCGCCGCTTAGGAGGCGGTCGGCCGGCGAGCGAAGATCACCGTTGTGCGTTTTCACGCTCGCGCTCTTCGTAACCGAGAAATGATCGCGATACCTTGATACCTCATGGAGGTATCGAAGGCTTGTCTTCGAGGACGAGTAGCCTTCAATCGAGTTGACAGTCGAGTGAAGACAAAGCGAATTTTTCTCCGCGATTGACTAGTTTGATTTTGATAAATGTTTGGCAACAGCCCGGAAAAGAAACAGAGACGGAAAGAAAGAGAGGGAGGGAAAAAAAGAGAGAGGGCAAATTTACCGTACACACTTTCCCCGCGAGACAGTGAGTGAATGCAATTTTTGATAGACGTATACCCGTTACCTCGCTCGATCGACTTCTCATTCACGGTGTATACGGAAGTTATTAAACGCAGTTAGTTGCATTTTATAACCGAATCGCGATTCGGTTATAAAATGCCGCGGATGCCGGCGCCGCTATCGCGAGGATGCTCGTGTCCCATTTTATAAAAGTGTGAGCTGATACTGTAGAACAATACTTTTGAATCATCTCTACAGAGAATCAAATATTTATTCAATATTTCCGGGCGTTATACTAAAAAAAAAAAGAAGAAGAAAGAAAAACAGAAAATAGCCGCGATGACATAATTATACATAGAAAATCCGATCGATCCGTACCCACACAGCCAGAAATGTTCAAAATACATCGCAGGGATATTCTAAGAATATTCTTAGAATATCCCTGTGATGTATCTTGAACATTTCTGCTGTGTGGACTGAGAAAAATATTCGAGATATCCGATTGTTAAGTTCGTTATCCGATCAAATATTCGGTGTATTTAATCGGATAACAAAATTAACAATCGGATGTTTCTGATATTTTTCTCCGTGTGGGGGTATTAGACTGTACGGGCAAAACTGCTCTGATCAACAGCGCCACAATTGGAGCAAAAATCCATTGTTGATTCCATCGGCATTGACAAACTAACACTCGGGTTGTTAAGACAATGTACCGATTTCGAATCGACAGGATTGACTCCAGTCGCGGCGCCGAATCGCCTCGACAGAAGCAGCATCGTCGCTCCCGGTGCATGGAAGAAGAGAAGACGCGAATAGCCGGCAGCAAAGTTCTCATCGTCGTGGCACCTCAGGTGTACCTGGATTCAGACCGGAGACTCGCGATTCGGTCATCAAGGCAATCGACACGCACTCGGAACTTCGAAACGGTTGAAAAGCGCGGAGCACGAGGAAGCTATTCGCGCGCAATGCTGCGATATTCGACACGAGCGGTGCATCTCGTGCGAAATCGCGGAAAACACGCGCGTTGTGGCAGCGCTTGGGTTACGTCGCGACGCGAATTTATATTTCGCGCGAACCGGAGCCAACGGCGACGCGGCGACGCGCTCTTAATCATCGGCCCACGCGTCTCCTCGACTCGAGGGGGACGCTGATGAAAAGAGCATAAAAAATAGCGTTTCCTCGTAGACGGCTCCGTCGCAGCCCTTTCTTTCTCCTCCCTCCCCCCCCCTCTCTCTCCCTCTCTCTCTCTCCCTCTCTCTCTCTCTCTCTCTCTCTCTCTCTCTGCTTCGCTCATTGCTTCGCAAAATCCACGCTCGGCTCGGCAACAGATGCAAGGGTGATCTTTTTTAAACAGCCGATGTGTCACGCAGCCGCTCGCTCGTCGCCGCGCGAGTTTTGCGCTGTTCGACAAACGAGATGCATCTGTTCGCCTCAACCTTGCGACAATCTCGATATAAATTCAGACCGGATACGCCGTGATATCCCGCGAGCCGGTGCGCGACGATTACCGCGACGACGGTTATCACTGGAAAAAGACCACCGAGCGGCCTGACGAGAGTTTACAACAGTCGGGATGAGCCGGACGCGCGGATATTTTTGCGTTAGCGACGCCTGATGATTTCGAGCAATTTGGAGAGATACGCGTCCAGATATTATACTTTGGCTGCGCGATTCTAATCGAGTTGCCGTGATTGCAGTTTGAAGTCTCGAACGCGACACGGCGCGGTGTCAGTCGAAGCTCTTGTGATCGACGGCGTCAGAAACGAGAAAATTAAATTAAAATAGGCTAAAAATTCTTGCAAAATGCCTTGGAGCGGGGGCAGGTATATCGGTAAAGTGATACTCGCGATGGAACGTGCGGATCTGCGAAGAAGCCCGGCCACTTTTCTCTTGTTGCAATAATCTATAAATTAGTACAAAAATATTATGAAACGCAGCTGACTTTTACAAACTTTTCCGATTCTGTCACGTTAATTCTGCGGTTATTTGATTATACTGATTTTACGGGCAAAAGGTTCGGGGAAAGTCTTCGGATTCTTTTACAGATCTGTTCTGTCATTTTTAGAAGCCAATCGGATTGTGGAGCTAATCGAATTGTGAAATAGCGCGTTATCGCACTGAGAAAGAAAGTATCTGCTATTTGTAACTATAATCGCTAGTAAAGTAAAAGTGTTACAGTCGGAGGAAATATTTTGCAGTCGATGTTAGTAGCGACAATAACCAGTGAGTTAGCGCATTGTCATTCTTACCTTTCTGTTAGAGCAACAAAAAAATATAGTTGGCGCTGAAAATAACTATAATTTCCATGACAACCCTTTTCTCTCTCTTTCTCTCTCTCTCTCTCTCTCTCTCTCTCTCTCTCTCTCTCTCTCTCTCTTCCCTCAAAGAATCACACCTCATTATCCGCCATATATAATTACCCTCGACATATATCATATATATTCTCTGTATATTTAATTAAATCCACGTCCATCTGTCACAGTTAATTCGAACGTCCGTAAAATCGACTGAAACCGAGTCGATATTCGGCGGCCCTATTTTCGTCCTGAGCAATTTAACATCTATAAATTCCGGGGGGGGAGACTAATATATATTTGACTTATATATCATAAAAAGCGTAGTACTTTAAACGGGCAGAAGACACACAATTTGCCACTTGCGCGAGGTCTCTTGAGGGAACCGCTCGGCAAAGCCGTAGGCTTTAATCGCGATCGAAACAGATTGAGAGATACAGGCTTCGGTGCACGAAATCAGAGTTAAGTGGCATATCGAGGTCGAAAGCAGGAGCGGAATTTCGAGTCGTCGCCGCGCTGACGAATTAATCGCGCGTCGCTACGACGCACAGTGGGCAAAAAGACTCATTTTTTGGACAAAAATCTACCGACAATGCAATTTTCAACCGATTTCAAAATTCTTTTCTTTAATTTAGTCATGAAACATTGCTCTATAATGCAGTACTGCGGCACTGATGAAAAAAAGCTGAAATTCAAAATGGCGGATAGAAAATGAGTGACGAAAGTATTGAATGGATTCCTGTCGAATGATACTTTTCTCTTATAATATTAAATATATTAACACTGAAATTGTATTTTGGGTCGCTAAATATGTATATGAGATCAAACTTAAAATTAAAAAATCAAAATAACATTTATTATAAAAGTCAAAAATGTCGAAACTTTACAAGATTTTATTGGATTTACAAAAAAAGGATTATTGTGCACTTGGCACATAATTATTTAAAAATTTTTCATATTTTAATATTAAATTTGTACAAAATAGCAGAATTTTGTTATATTGCTTCATAACTGCTTAGATAATAAAACAATAATTAAGCCCTTTTTTTTTCACCAATGCCGCAGTACTACATTGTAGAGCGATGTTTCATGAGTAAATTAAAAAAAAGGAATTTTGAAATCGGTTGAAAATTGCACAGTCGGTAGATTTTTGTCCAAAAAATGAGTCTTTTTGCCCACTGTGCGGCGATCCGGGCGCACTGCCGATCCGAGTGTATTATTTATACGCGCATAAGAGCGCGTGACTGGCTGAGACTTTCTTTGCACGTTTCTTGTCGTCCTGAATCTCCCGCGCTGTTCGATACTCGCTCGATCGTCGCCATGGCGTGATTAAACAAGGCGACAAGGGACGCGCGCAAGGAAAGCTTCGGGCCGGTCGCACGCTGTAGTTGTGCGCGCACGCAAAAATAACACTCGAATTTGCGGTGTACTCTAAAGCCCTAAACACAATGCCCAGGCAACAGGCGATAAGAATAAAAATAGACCAATCACAATCGACTATTACAAGAATAATCTATTGTGATTGGTCTATTTTTATTCTTATTGCCTGTTGCCCGGCATTGCGTTTAGGGCTTAAGCGCTCTCGGTATACACCGCAAATCCAAGCGCGTTATTTCGGCATACGCGGACAACCTAAGAATAACACTTTTGACTGAGGCTCTCCTCGCCGTTCCCGAGTCACGTTCGCGTAACGCGCGTTTGGACTCGCGCCGCGAGTTAATCGCGCTCGACGTTAAGCGACGTGACCGAAGAAACGCAGTTGGAGTAATACAGCCGGAGGAAGATTCGCCGAGTGCGCCGTGTTCAGCCGAGGAGTGTCCTTTCGCGGCCGCAGCCGCGGGAAAAGGGAACACCTTGGTTGGAAGGAGCGAACGCGTTAAGATCGAGGAAACGTTGGTCGCGATCGGACGACAAATCTTCGAACTGCCGCCGTCGGCGATGAATCTCCCCGGTCTCTCGCGGGAGATTAAGATACACGGACGGCGCGTGAACACCGCGTAAAGCCCGCGGAAAGCGGAGTTTCGCGAGACGCGGAACGCAGTCGGACTGCTATCATCGGTACGCTTGTCGGTAATGCGAAAATAAATCTCGAAGAGAAACGCAACACACCGTGGATCCCGATGATTTACGGCCACGGGCGCCGGGTGGTCCACAGGTCGCGCATGTGCCTCTTCTCCTCCTCTGCCGCGCGATTTCCTTTCCCCAGCGAGTTGCTTCCCGCCGGAACTCGAGAATCGAATGGTTTGGGCACGCTACCAAACGCATTTCACGATGACCGCGGTTGGCGGGATGGCGCAGACATGCGTGCGTTGTCTCTAAAACTAGATTTGTACGTGAACAATTGATCTAATTAAAACATGTGTACTCGCGAGGATTCGCGAAATATCAATCGAAAGCCGCTGACTACGCGGTGCTTAGATGCGCGCTTTGCGATCGCCACGGTAGTCTCGAGACCCTCTAATTAATAGAGAGTCTGGACATCAGGGCTTCGGCGTGATTGGTTCACGGACCGGTGGTCTGAAAATGGCGGCACCAATAGAAAACCTTGCTTACTTAGCGCGGACGGGTAGATAATTTGGATGTCAGGTAATGTGTCTTCTAGATAGCGTCGTATATTATTTTATTTCGCATAAACACATAAAAAGTAAAGAATTTCATAAACGAATTCATTATTTATGAAAAAAAAAAACGTAATATTTTTCATGAATTTATGCAGAGAAACAGATATGGATCCATACCCTGAACTTAATTTTATTGATAAAAGTGGCTTATAAAGCTTTTGATTACAACTCACTTTTAGAGACACTTCGATAAAAAGAAGGTTAAAGTATGGACCTTAAAATCAATATTTCTATTAATAGAATATAAGTGAAATGCATTGTAAATGGGATATAAGAGAAATAACATAACGAAATATAAAAAAAATATATATATATATATTAGTTTTCATTCGTGTAATATATAAAGTTAGAAAGGAAATATTCACAACGTTGTAATTCTATTAATAAGCACAAAAAAGATATTTTCCTCATTTTTAATGTTACATACCGTTATTTATTACTGATTAATATATAAATGACACAAATGAAACTTCTTCTTCGTAGCAGATAAATTAAACTGATGACGTTTTCTCCCACCTTTAGCCTAAGGCTGTTCCTTTTAACTGCATTACTGAACTGATACTTTTTGCACCATTGTGCAGCTAAAAAGAACACACTGAGCCGGCTATTTTCAGGCCCGTGTCCAGACTCTCTATTAAAGGCCATCACACACTTATGAACGTAAGCAGTAAGACGTAAGCAGTAAAGAAACTGACCAGTTAAGGCCTGTCCAGACAAACTTGCATAAGCGCGTAACGCACATGCATAAGGAAATTGACCAATGACCATATGATCCGTGTAGTAAAAGAATATTTTTCGTATTAAACATACGATTAGTCAATTTCCTTATGCATATGCGTTACGCGCTTATGCAAGTTTGTCTGGGTAGGCCTTTTGGGCCAGAGCACAGACTTCTGCATAACGCATAATACACAACGCATAAGAGAATCAACCAATCAGAGTTCTTCATTTCTGTCCTAAGGAGGTGTCGCAGAAAATGTCGTATTGGCCGCTCTCAGGTTACTCTCTGGTAATGGCCTTTAGAGAAGGTCTCTACGTCTCTAGTGCACTCCGTCGCGCCATCTTGTGGAATGGGAAACAAATAAATATCGGATGACCGACGACGGAAACGGTAAACGAAATCACCGACGAGGTATAATATAAAGACTGTGACAGCTCTGGGTAAATTTTCATATCGACTAGAGGGGCTCGAAGGAGCCCGGGCGTAATTGAAGAGCAATGATAATACCGATTGCTTTAGCTACGCTCGATTTCGAACTTTGCTCGAATATCTCAGCTCATAAAGGACTGTGCAGGATAAGACCAAGGCCAGTTTTTTCTCGTACAATTGGAAATCGATTGAATCTTAAGAGTTAATCGGACATATGAAAAGCCTAAATATACCTGTGGTTTTCTGGAAAAGGAATTTCAGTCTCAGCAATTTCAGCTTCGGTCCCGCCACTTTGGTCGAATTAGGAACGATGACAGAAACGCAGAGCTTCGCGAACGACAGATTGATAAGCGAGTTTAGTGGAACGAGCGATTTCACCGACTCATCGCGCTCCCTTGAATTATGTCGTTGGCTCTGAGACACTATTTACGGGGTCAACATCGTGTTGGAGGGACCGACATGCTTCTTCATCACTGTCGAGCGAGGATTCGCCCCCGAATATTCAGCTTGCCGTCCAGCTGTGCCAAATAACAGCGACGATCCGCAAATTATGATAAATCGGCCTGTTCTCGCGATCTTTCGAGCATTCTGCTCGTTGATTTGTCGTCGTTCGTTAACATCCATCAGACACTTACAGGGTACATTTAATCCTTCGCGGGGCCTGAGTCATCGTCGATGTTTCCTCGCGGTCGAGCCGTGGCAAATTCCATTACTCCGCGAACCCGAAATTTGCAGAGAGAGAGAGAGAGAGAGAGAGAGAGAGAGAGAGAGAGAGAGAGAGAGAGAGAAATGGGAGAAAATAAAAAGATTCAATTGTCAACAATGTAAAAGCGCGCGATGTCTCGCGCGTCATGCGTGTTCTATTATAATGTTATTTTATTATCACATGCTGTCGATTTCTCCTTTTGTATCGTCCCTGCAGTGAAACGCAATGAACGGGCAGACATTTATGTATTGATCGCTCGTTTACGTGATTGGGGATAATCATTAAGCAAATGCAACGCTAAATCTGCGCGTCGCGTCGCGGCGCGAAAACGATAAGAATACGAAAAACGTAGCAAAGGAAAGCAGTAAGTATATCATTAGCGGTAAAGGATTAGTCGGAAAAATGTTTCTCATCGTTTATGTAAGTACAATTATTTGATCCTAGAACTACACATCTCTTACATTTTTGGCTGCATCTTCGATGCAATCGACACTCTATAGTTTCTTAAGTCTCTTACTATTGTTAAACGATTCGCATCTTTACAGAATATAAAGTTAAATCTGTGTGAAAATAGGAGCGAATGGAATAACGATGTACGAACGCGTTTGGAGTATGTTTAAAATCCTTGCGTGTTATGCCCTATTCTTATAATTCTGCTCCAATGCATACGTGTTACTTTTTAAGGGGATAAATCATCTTTCTCTCACACGAGTCGGATTTCATTTCAAAACTGAAGTATGTCTCGTGCTAAAACAGAGAAGTCAGTCAATCCTTTGCTCCTGAACATTAATTTCCCGATTATAATTGTTTGTGTTTGTTGTCTCTCTCTTATTCCTTCGGGACGCGCTGGATTTAGCGTGCCATGGCTTAACATTGTGCACGTTATGCATCTTTCTCCAGAGAGACAAAGACCCTCCCCGTTTGCCCTCCGTGACCGTTACTTCACTCGTTCACTCGGTTTTTAGGCACGACCGACCTCTGCTTTTCGAACGAATGTCCACAAATTTATATGGAACAATGTCACTCGCAAGGCAGAACCGTGGGTTGATTCTTTTGAAATTTCTTTCTTTCTTTCTTTATGGACCTTGAAAGAATTGCCCGCGGTCCTGTGTAAAGTTTGAAACCGGAATCGTTCAGAAATAACATCTGTAATTAAATTGCTATCACACATGGAGGGATCCTGCGAGATTTGTCTTCGACGTTGTCAATCGGTCGTACCTTCTGCAAAAAAGCTACGCTTTTTCGCGTGATAACTCAAGGAGCGAAACCACCAGTCGGGGGGGGGGGAGGTCGCGAGCCGTATAGCACGCCGGTTAATTCGACCGTAACAATTGCGAAAGAATCGACTTCGCGAGATGGTTCGTCTTCTTACTTAATCGATACATACTTAGGCTGCAACAGAGGATGCAAAAGCTAAGCGGTATGCGCTCAAGTTAATTGGTATTATATAATCACATACAATAATCACTCAAAGTCACAATAGTACGTATATGCAAAACTGGCAAATTTGCATTATAATATATGTAACAGTCTGTAGTTAAATTAGCTTCACTGTTAATCGGGCCATAAACACTCTCGTTTCAAACGCGTAATTCCCCGACATTGCCGTTGGAACCAAGTCGATAGATCGTCGGCGTGTAGATATGGCATGTAACGTAATGCTATCTTAATTCATGCGACAAACCATTGTGTGTGCAACCAGTCCTATTCATCCGAATCACAAAACAGAATCATAGTAGGAAACGATATCTCACTTAGAATAAGTGTATCACAAACGTCATGTTTGATGACCAGATCAATCGTTACAAGAGACAGCAGAGTGATAAAGATGAGCGTGACTAGTATATTATTACATTTTATCGTTATTACAAAAGTATTAAACTTATGAAATCTACTACACGCAGTTCGCGATTAAGTCGGTTCTTCGAACTTGACTGAGAAATTTACGTTGTTAAACTGACGATTCTATAATATTATGTCGTAATGTCAATTCATCGGCATATATATGCGCGAGTATGAAATTATACTTGAAAAAAAAAAAAAAAAGATTCGAATTACTATAGCTATACTATATACGAAATACACACTCCGTCCTTGTCCCATCGTACAAAAGTCATAAAAGATCAGTGTGATCGAAACTGATACTACCTGAACCGGACGTGTTTGTGAGACTACGGTTTGGCATGTACAAGTGCTCGTGTGTGCCTTTTTGTGCAATATATAAACGCGATAATTTATTATGAGATATCATTATAATCAATATCGTAACAAATACATGATACGCTGCATTCCACACTCATACACGTAATGCGATTTTCGTAATAATGAATTTAACAAGAACATTAACAGATCAATCGATATGAGTAAGTATTTGTTTTATGAGGTATATATAACAATTTTCCTTTTAAATGCGATGTAAAGTATATATATATATATATCACACATGAGTCGCGTTAATAACAAATAGTCATTGATACCCTCGTCAAAGTGCCTCGGTACAAAGCGATAATACGGCATTAGCTCAATGCGCAACTTGATAAACTTGTGATTTCTTTCAAAGCACGAAAAAGAATGAGAATTATAAATAAATATTATTATGTACAAATAAGATATATACGACGTATTCAAGCACTGCAATAATACCGCGATATTTCCTGTTCATCCCGTACTGTTCAACGCCGTACAAGAGCATAAAATCGTGAAATTGTCTACATTAACATTGATCTTATTTAAAATAAGAATATAATACGAACGCGCGCGAAAACGTACAACTGCATTAGTCGTTAGTTTGTGCTTTCCACTTGTACAGTTATTGATGCTTTCATGTATAATATCGTTCGAATTTTTACACGCTGGAAGTACTTAATATTTTAATTATAAAACGCCAGTATGTCGTATTTAATAAGTAATTAAGTGCTTACGATTTGCCTTTGAGATAGAAACTAGTAAATCAAACCGCTATATATTCAAGAACGCTTCCGATAATGAAATACTATTGAACACATATTTCGAGCACATGATACCACCGCGAATTTCTCTTTTTTTCTTTTAACACATCAAAATGTTATACTGTGTCTTTACTTTCATAATACTGTGAACGATCTTAATGCTACCAGGGTCTTGCACTGGTGATTTTAAGCACAGCGTTGTAGGTTTTATAGTCATTTGAAAACATCAACGTTACTTGTCGGTTACTTAAACGCAAGCTTAGTAGTAAACTTATACTCTGGAATGCTGTGTTTCCATAATACTTTTCGGTTATTATAATTTCATTGAACGTTATTCGTTAACTTTTAGTACAATGCGTCTGTTCAGCTGACAAGCACGATATTAATATAATTGGCATACGATCTTGTGCTAATGCAACAAAAGTAGGTTATACTGAAAACATATAACACGACCGTTTGTATAATCAAATTTTTATCAGAGAAAAAAAAAGGGAAAGACGTTTGCTCTTAGATGGAAGAAATTATCTAAAATTTCGCTCTACCGTTTGAATTACATTATAGTTAGAGGTATAATTTGCTATACAAAAGATACGTAAAAATGCGTAGCCTTTCCTGTCTCATGAATCACACAAAGCCGTACGTAGACAGGAGAAAATGAACATGTTACAAAAACCTCATAAACATCTTAAGATCAATGCGGTTAATAAAGCGTATTAAGTATTCCTCTTTTTCTCTTCGTTGTTAATACGAGATATGCAACTAAAATTAACTTTGAATAAATGCAAAAATATGTTCAACTCAGTAATAAAAACGTTCTACCTATAGCTCAATAATTTATAAAAAGCTCTTTGCGTTTTACATGTGTATAACTGTATCATTTAATATAAAATTTTGCAAACAGCATACGTAGAGTTGTTCAACGAAGAAACGGAGAGAAAGAACAACTTCATTATTTCATTCAATTCATAGCCTTAGCACGGTATAAATTAAAAGCCTAGAGAAACATAAATTCTTTATAAACCTTCGCCATAATTTGCTTCGCCATTGGCTGTTATTTTACACGCTTTGTGTGGAAAGTTGTACATAGTCTGCAGAGGTACGTGAAGTAACTCCACAATCTGTATGAAGTTAGGCTCTGCAACAAAAGTGTACGAACAAATGAACTTTATCATTATCACGACGACGCCCTTTATGAGCGAGCGAGATTGCGAAATGAGTGAAATATGAGATAAGACAAAATTAAATCTTACCGTTTTCCGCTGTGATATATCCGTGTCTAATTAAGAAGTCAAGGGCGACTGGTACAGAAGTAGTCTTGAAATGCGGGGATAGTATCCTCTCTAAGCATTCACTAACCGGCAGTAACTCGAAGGTTTCTACTTCTCCGTCGCTATTGCTCGGTATGAAATCAGGTGGCAGCTCAAGATCATATACGAATTCCGTGTTGGGAAAGAGGCCCCTCTCACTCTCAAAGAAAAACGACACGCAACCAGCACTCTTGAGCTTGGCGATAAGATTATTCGGGATTCCTGCCTCTTCGAAAGCCTCTTTTATCGCGGTTTCGTTTATACCGTAGCCGACGGTCAGTCCGCCGCTCACCATGCTGTCCCAGTAAGCCGGCCAGGTTTGTTTGTTAGGACTACGCTTTTGTAACCATATTGATAAACCCTTGATAGGGTCCATTACGTAGCCATTTATGTCCACTCCGTATTTCCGAATTCCAAATAAGCCTGTTATTTTGAAAAGGTATCAATGTATCGACTTTTAATTATACAATATTAACAAACAACCATACAACAGTACAGCTGTTGGATGAACAACCATTGAGAGAGGAGTTGTCTAAACAATCAATTCTCATACATACATGTAGCTGAACGATCCATCTTAAGCAATGGGATTGTATTAAACTGAGCTCGAACTTCGTGACACTCCTCCCTCCAACCACGTAGTGTTACAAATTTTCCACCTGCTTTCCATTCTCTCAATACTTCGTCAACACGTTCACTTCTCTCGGTATAATCCCGAAAGGCTGGATTCAATTGCACATATTCAGGTTGTACTTGGAATACCTTGAAAATTGGTGATAAATTATATACATTTTAAATGCGAATATAGATTCGAACACATCAGCTACTACAGTTCAATTGGAAAACTGTTTCCACAGTCCATTCTGTATTTTTCACGTAATAATACAAAGCAAATTAATTTTTTTATATGAAAATAGAAAAATCATATGTGCGATTGTTTCTAGTGAAGGGCTGTATCACACATACGTGATATTAATAGCAAACAAATCAAGCGTCACATGATGGGTAAACTGGCTAAACTTACTTGAGGATAATTCAATATTTCCTTCATTACATCTGGACGTACAAGACCAACTTGTTGTCCATCGACGACAAATGCTCTGCATTCCCCTGCGTGAAAACCTAAGAAATAAAGATGTTTACACAATTCACATGGACGCAGCATTAAAGATTCCAGAATGTTGCAAAGAATTAATATCCATCGTTTACACAAACAAATTAATTAAAACAGTTGTCAAATAATGAAAATTTTTTTTTTTCTTTAAGAGTAGCCTATGTCAGACAATAAACTCTCAATACATCTCAACCTGATCTGTTTTCTGTGTGCAGATTTATTTAATTGGGTACCATTCGGAAATATGCCATATACGAAAATCCCTCAGTGAACAATGTGGTCTTTCAAGCCCTAAAGAGAATGTCGATTGTATCTGTCTTTATATAAAGAAAGAGTTCGGGAGCATTCCGGAATCGCTGCTTTTCGAGGGAGGCTCGAAACTACCGGCGACAAAGCGAAAAACGCGACTGACCGTTGATCTTGCTGCACGGTACCCCGGAATTTTACTCATATTATTTCCAACGGAAACGCCAAAGACAGATACACACAACACTCGAAATCAATATTCTCGGTGGTTCGTACGGATGGTAGCCGCGCGCGTTCCTATCGATCATACGACCAGCAGACGCGTCGATTGAGACGATACGGAATAGTGCGAGCACGACTCGCCGCATCCACTTACCTGACAGGTAGAAGCAATTGAATTTGTTCGCGAGTTTCAATAAACGTGACATCGGCTTCTTGTCGCTAACCGCCATGATGTTACGCCGTTAGCAGCCAGCTGCGACGGAAAATCCTAGCATCGAGCATAATATATGTCAGACAGGAGCCGGAGACGGGATTTCTGCGCATACGGCGTCCCGCGGACCGAAGCGAGACGACGAGCTACGATTGGCCGATTGGTTTCCATGCTCGCATAGCTGACCAATCGGCGATCGCTAGCCGGCTAACACGCCAGTCGCGTTACCAGGCGCGTCGCTGTCATTGTCGGTCAGCGCAATGCCAAGAAGGACAACGTCACGTGACATGACAAAATAGAAAGCAAAATTCGATTGGGATAAAACGCGGAGATCTCGTCGTCTGGAGGATTGCGCAAACTTACGATTGTCGACTGAGTGAGTGTGATTATGCGGGAATATGCAGTCCCAAAATGCAGTCCCAAATGCTGTTTCTGATATTTCTGAGATAAGCGGATAATGAGAAAATCGTTGAGAAGAATGAAATGCTAACGGTCCTCACGGGGAGTTCACACACGACTATCAATATAGCTTGGTGGTCAACGTATATCTAAATATTTATATCGAATGCAGTCGAGGCAGTCGGTAATGTCGATACTCTGCGGATGATTATCCGCGGATTTCTCGGTACCCACGAAATTTTACCAGAGGTCGACGATTTTCCTGTAGTACCACGTATCGATGGTAACAGCAAATTTCGGTTCGATGCTGCGCGATGCTGGTATTATCAGCACCGATAAGATTCGCATGTTTAACGAAACATGAGAGCTTTGCGTAAGAACATACTCTCGAAGCATTTGCGTCTCGCCAGGTAGAAACAAACGTATTCGGGTAATTTATTCGTGCGTCGGTTTTGTGCTGTTGACACGTTTGCGATAGTAGCTGCTATCGAAAACGTCGAGTTTAATCGTTTGAAAATTAGACGAATCGCGTGATTGGTCGGTCGCAGTTGCACCGAGAGTATCGGTATATACTTCGAGAATCTCAAACGCGGCAACGTTCAGTTCGGTACTCGGCTGAGTCGCGACGCGGTAACGCGGATTCGAAGAGCGGTTGTGTATTTGCGGTTTTGGCTTGCCAGAACGAGCATTGCGTGCTGATTGTTGTCTCCCGAGAATGTCGGCAGCTGGTGTCAAACTTTGGTACGACAACGCAGTATTAATTAAGAATATACGCGGATTTGGATAATCGCAGGACGGATTGCCGGTAGTGCCGCGAGAAGAGGCAGTCGGGGTCTGTAATGGCGGCGTTTCAACGGTTGGAAGGAAAGCTGGTAAGTGTTAGGATAGGATAGAAACTCCGATGGACATGTGCGTCGACGAGCTTTGCGTATCGAAACATATTTTCTGCTCGCAAATTTACTGACTTGCCTAGAATGTGGGGGGGGGGGAAGCGCATCGCTTTGATGCCAAGAGCCGAAATAAAGACAGCGTATGAAGGAGGGGGGGAGTGGGAGAGGAATTATCGCACTCTGTGCTCAATATTCTTCTTATGATCACGACGGCGTTTATGATAAAGCATTCGTATTTAGTGGAAAATTAAACAAATTGAAAGTGAAGGAAACACTTTTCTTTCTCGCTTCGTCCTCTCGTATATTCGTTTTACCGTTACTTACCAACTCGAAAAAGTTTGCAAATTTCTCCGCCGTGTGGCTCTACGGGTCACTTACGTTGCGTTGTATTTACTGCGTGGAGCGGTGTGGATATTATTTTTACGTGTAGAACTTCTTGTCGCTGAAATAAAAGTATCGGCACATTATTCGCAATGTCGGAGATGTCAGAATCAGAGTACGATTCGTCCGATGAAGAGGTACAGTATTATCTTTATTTACGTGCGCTCATATTCTGCGCGTGTTCCAACCTATTCTAACCTCTTTCTATTCACGTGGCTAGTTGCAAGAGGCTTTTGCGAAAGGATTACTGAAGCCAGGACTCAATGTCGCGATTGAAAAGAGGGAGTCCAAGAATTGCGTTGTAAGTGGTCACGGATCACGATAATGTTCTTTAATTTAGCTTAACCTAATCCAACTTAACCTTCTTAAACAATTTGTAGAATCTCATGAAGCAAAAGTTGACTGAAATCAAGCTGGATTTGCCATGGATTGAAAGGCTAGACATGGTAAATGCACCAGCACCATTAGCACCAGAGTTGGTATTGCAGATGCAGGAGCAGGAAGTAAGACGCGCTAAGCAACTAAAGGGAAACAGAAAGCTGCCTCAGTACGAACCATCCGAGGACCCTGTGTTAAATGATTTTCGCAGGGAAACTATGTTTCATCGTCAAGCTCAAGGTGCTGTCATGGATGGTATTGTTAGATTGAAGAAACTAGGGATACTAACATTCAGACCAGACGACTACTTTGCAGAGATGGCAAAGACCGATCAGCACATGCAAAAAGTAAGAGACAATTTGATGAAGAAGCAGATAGTAGCACAGAGATCAGAAAGAGTCAGGCAATTAAGGCAACAGAGGAAAGTAGGCAAGCAAATGCAAGTTGAAGCGACACTGAAGAAACAAGCAGAGAAGAAGAAAATGTTGGAAGAGATTAAAAAGTACCGTAAAGGTGCTCGGAAGGACCTTGATTTTCTGGAAGACAAGAAACCGCAGAATAAACGGCCAAATCATAAGATGAATCCAAAGATGAATTCAAAGGTACAATTGAAAGCAAAGATGAAGAATGCGAAGTACGGTTTTGGAGGTAAAAAACGCGGCAGTAAGCGGAATACAAAGAGTAGTTCTGCTGACGTTTCCGAGTACAGACGGGCACAGAAGCCCGGGAAGCGAGGGACGAAGGGAAAGGCAAATCAAAGGTTAGGGAAGAGTCGTAGAATGCAAATGAAAGCGAAGAAGAAGCACTGAGAGATTTTTTCGCAATAGCAGTAAGCTTAATTTTCTTAGACGAATGTATATGTTGCAGTATAGAGAAACGATGTGATCGAACTTTTGATTAAAGTAAACTTGATATAAAATACCGATGCAACAAATATTCCCAGTCTTACCTATCATCCGAGAGATCTGTCAGAACTCCGAAAAATTGTTGCGACGTGAGTCACTTTTTTTTTGTAAGAAGAAAGCTCTCGTCGCAGTATAAGACTGACTTGATACGCGGCCACATTCAGATGAATGTGAATGCATGCTGCAAATTTGAATCGTGCTCACTTTAAACTCTGTCTGTCAGCAATGGACTAATTAAGGGATATCGCGGATAATTATTCTCACTTGCGCACATTAAATAATTTCATTGAGATTGATATTTCATTAGCATTAGTATTGGAATTAGCATTCTATTGCTAAGAAAAGCGATCGTTCAATTTAATTTTTCCTTCTAAATAATGTAATAATACCTACAATTAAAAATATTTTCACGATAACAGTCTTCGGAAATATACTCGTCACAAATTTCAAAAAAGCTCACATTCAAGAGGAATTTTTATTCCTTTTTGGAAAATATCATGAAACTCATACTTCCCAGCAGAAAGCACAGTTTTATTTATCAGTTTCCATGTTCTTGACTAAAGTCTAAATTTATCAGGATTGAGAATGTGTCCTAAACTTACAAAACACTCGAAACAAGTAACATTTATTTCAACGCAACATGTGCTCGCATAAATACGCGCATTTACGTTGCAGCGCGAGAGCGTGCGTCGCGATTCCGTCTTGAAAATTAAAACCAAAATTTCAGTAGCCGCTCGTACGGATTCCGCTGCACGGATTCCGGTGAAAAATCGCACGGAAAATTACCCCCAAATATTCAGTCCCTACAACAATAGCGCGGGCAGAGAGGGGGCAGGAGGGGCGGCGGGGCTGGGGGAGGGAAAAGAGCGTGTCTCTCGACGGCGAAATTCATGCAGCATCAGAATTCGATCACCTAACACATGTCCCGCATTAGACAATCCGTTGTATGTACACGGCGCTACACGCATAGGATGCCGATTACATCGTCTATTACACCGTCGTTGTCCCGTGAATCGCGCGCGCACCGGTGCACACATATGCGAGCAAGGGCGCGATACTCATCCCCCCTCCACACGTGCGCGAGCGGTCCGCCTTTCCGCCGGCTATCCATCCATCGGCGGTTGATCCATCGATAGGTATATCGATACCGATAACGATCCGCGGACCTGTCGTCGCTCCTCGCGGACCGGCGGCAAGGGGGGCGGGGGGTGGGTATCGTTCGGACGTGCCTTGGCGAGGGGTGGATTGAAAATTCGAGGCAGCGCGGGCCGCGCCGTACGTGCAGATACATAAGCGTATATATAAGGTGAGCTAGAAAAGATCTCTCGCGGCGGATTTCGCGCTCGCTATTCGAGTTCGGACGATCAACGGGCTCCCTTTCGCGGAGCGACGTAACGTTCGAGGGTGAAGCGGGTTGTGCAAAAATTGCGCCCATCGGGGCGAGACGTCAACGTGCCGACGAGCGAGTCCCGCGGAAATCGACTCTCGAGTCCGTCGCTGTTATCGGATACCGCGATGTACACGCGGCGAGAATTGCTGGAATTACGCCGGATAATTTTACGCTCGGTTTCGCTGCCACTGACAATACGTGCGTCGCGGCTCACCCGGTATAAACGCGCGCTCGTCGGACTGTCGAAGTACTAGGCGATCCACAGAATACAAGGTAATACGCGTGATTGGGCTCCGAGTGTATACAACTTGTTATTTAGCGGGCAGAAATATAGCGTCGCCGCGCGAGCCGCGTACGTGAAAGCCTTGGCCTCTCCGTGCGCAGTCGTGCGCGTTTTAGCAGCCTGTATAAATAAATTAATTTAATGGATATTACGTATATGTATATATATATATATATATGTATATATATATATATATTATGCGTGTATGTATATGTAAGAATCGAGGTACATTATATAATATAAAGTGCCGGTCACTTGTTTACGCAAGTTTGTCGCTCAAACATAAATGTATTTATGTGCAGGTGGTCGTTTAATCGCTAGAAGTCGGCCGGCCGCCGCGCGTCCAAGTGGCATGGAATCTCATTCCGTGGAGAAGGTTAGCTCATGTTTTATATTATTTAGCGGAGTTATGTGTGTGTGTGTGTGCGTGTGCGTGCGAGGGCGAGTGTATTAAAGGCTCCTCACCGCGTTGACTGATGACGTCAGCAGCGAAGGAAATACGCTGAAAAGTCTTGCAAAATTGAAGAAATTGAAATAAATGAAAAAAATCTATAAAGTGGCGCTCGTAATCCATCGAGCGAAATATAGTTTGAGCACTTTCCTTTTGCCTTAAAAATCCTTAATAAACGAACATCACACCATGAAATGAATATCATACACAATCCAGTTTTTTCGTCTATCTTCATTCGTGATTCCGTCACGTTAATTCTACAGCTGCTTATCGATTATTTGAGCAGTAGGAAAGTGCTTTGAACTATTTCACTGATCTGCTCGGTCGATTGCAAATCGATCTTGAAGCTTTCGGAAGCATCTTTTGGTTTGGAATTTAGACACCTGTCTGTCGTGATCCAACAATTAAGCATAATTTTATGGATTGCCGATTATTCACCAATCCGTGCTTACTTTATTATGCAAAGAGTATCGGCTCAAACGGCCGAACAATGAGCAGGTGCATCTGCAATCAATCGATCTCTGTTGTAAATTATACAAGAGATTGTATAATTTACAACAATGAAAACCGGTCTCGGTCGTGGTTTAGTTTCGGGTTTACTTTCCGCTGAATTCAGTCTAGCTCAATCCAACGCGTGCTTGCTCGCTCCGTCGAGTTTCAATTTCCCGCCTCCGAAGAAACGATCTCGCGATCTCGATAAAGTTAAGGAGGATAATCTCGTGTAACGCGACATTTGTTAAATTATAAGGAACATTCGAGACGGACCGTCGCGCGCGCGCGCGCGCGGTCTGTTGCCTCTTCGCATGTATATGTATCGTGCACGAGTCTCCGTGAAATCGAAGGATCTTAGAACCGAGCGGAATATCCCGACGCATGTATGCAAAATCGTTTCCTGGAAACAAATTTTTTATCGGGCAACCGCCGGGGGTTATTATATTTAAATTCGCCGGGGCGTTCGCGTTTTTCCCGCACTGGCCGCTCCGTTCCGGCTGATACGAGCGCGAGTTCGGCCTGGGAATCCGCAACCCAGGTAACAGCTGTTTTCGTACCGGCTCTCGATGTGTTTTCACCTTTTTTGTGCGGTCCGAATCTAGCAATTACGTACGTGTCAAGGGGATGGGAGACGGCGGCGGGGGAGGGGGGGAGACAACAGTGACATGCGCGCGCGTAGTTGTCCGTGCTCCGGCGCTCGCTTTCTTATTCTGTCTGTCTGCCTGACGTTCTGCGCGCGACACATGCTCCGTTTGATGCGCGTCCGTCGAAAGCTCCCCGCAGCTGCAGCGCGCGGCGCACGGCCGTGCAAAAATCCGACATCCCGGTGGCCGAGAATTCGGCGACAACCCGAGGCGACAACTGGAGAGAAGCCGGCAGGGCGGGCGGGCGGGCACTCGCTCTCGGCGAGGCGACGAATTCCTGGCGATTCGGAATCGCGCGAAATCCGCCGACTTGCACTCGCACGCTACTCTCCCGTTCATGATGCGAATAAATATCCGGGGCGCGTCGCGGGTATCGGGAGTAATTTCCGGCCGCGGCGAGCGGTAATCTGCGTGTCGTCGTATTTATAGCCGGTGTGTACCGCGTATATCCGGAGCTGCGTCGCGATTTTGCGGAATAAATTGGAGCTTTTTGCCGCGCGTACCAGCGCGTACGTGCGCGTACCAGCGTACGTATGCATGCGCATATGTATGGGCAGCGGGATGGGCGGGAGGGAGGAGAAGAGGGGAGGGTACGAATATGGAGGCATCTCGCGAGAGCAGATATTTGTATTGACGACAACTGCAGCGTGACACGTATCCTCCGTCGTTTGCTAATGGGCGAAATTTGTTTCGCTATTGTCTGCGGGCGATTTGGCCGATTTCAAATTTACTGAGAGACTGTACGAGCGTATCGGTACGCGTACGTACGGGCACGCACGCTACGCGGTCGTATGAATGTGTCTGGACATGAGGCAGCGACGAACGCCACGGAAATGTGACGCGCCGGCGATTCAATATCCATCTCAATTAACCGCCTCCGATGGCGCTTCTGAAATGATCTCGCGTATTAATAGGACGCGCGCCGCTCTCGATCGCCGCATTAATCGATATGCAGTCCGTGGTTTACAGTCATCGCCGTTGTAATTGTTGGGCCTCCTCGCAGCGGCAAGCCTCGCGACGCTTTCGCGCCGCCGCGCCGCGCCGGCCCGAAATGTATTTTCCGCGCGGCGCATGGAAATATATTTTCCGATCGAAGCGCGCGAGCCGCGTCAATCGTCGCAGTCCGCTGCAGTGGATCGTGTAACTGTGTCGTCTTTTTGTTCGCGTCGCGTTAGTCACGAGGAGCACCGCGAGCTGCAGCGGAACAAATTCCACGCGACTGTGCGAGGACGAAAAAAAAGAGCCCGTGGCTTTTTTCAGACGCGTATTTCGAGATCTTGATGAAAGCAGCAAATGGAGAATCTCGCAGATTTATTGCGGAAAGGGGGGGGGTATATTTCTACTTTGTTTAAATTTTCTTCTCGACTTTAGTAATTTTTCTAGCATTGCAGGAATAGAATGTCGATAGGATTTATCTCGTTGAGCAAATTGCTAAATTTTTTAACGGTAGACTTCAGTTTCTGGAACATGAGTAATTTGTATGAAAGGAAGGATAATAAATTAAGGTGGAATGTGTTTCTCGATATGTTTCTCGGATACGAAGTTCTATAATATATTTATTTAGTTATATAGCGGAGAGGAAAGTTGGATTGGATTAACTTGACAATGAGTGGATCGGACGCGTTTCAGACAAAGGAAATGACTTCAGGTTTTCAGCACCAAATTCGGTTCGTGCAAGGCGCGGAAATACAGTTCCTTTCTACCAAAGTGATTTTTTTTATTCACTCATTGTCTCGTGAATTCAGCCAAACTTT